TTTTCTTTTCTTTTCTTTTCTTTTCTTTTCTTTTCTTTTCTTTTCTTTTCTTTTCTTTTCAGGGGTAATATATAGTCATTATGCCCTGAAAAGATGTGCTTGTGGACTCTCTCTCCAAATTAGAAAAATTTCATTATCTTCCTATACAGGTGTTCCCACTGCCACCATTTGCCACCTGCAAAGTCCCATCGACTTGTTATTGCCAGCAGGAGGTTTAGCATTTCCCTGCATAGCTAGCTTTGTCCATTCCGATGAATGACTGTTCCTTAGGTTTTGCATTGACCAGACCACCCAAGCACATGTGAAGTTAGGGTGGTATTTTATTTATTTGTTTGTTTGTTTGTTACCCTTGTACTTTTCTTCTCGTTATTCCTTCCACCCGGGAAGGGGGTGTCTTGAGGAGTTTCACCAATAGGTGGCTCCAAGAGTTGCTGCGCAGTTATTCCTGTGTGGCCTGATGGTGGCACTTCAAGCACACTTCACATCGGCCCATGCTTGTGGTCCAGGAATCCAGACAAGAAAAGTGGGAAAGATAATGACAGAGGACTTTGTGTGGTTGATTTTATTTTCCTGCCCCTTCGTGTCTATATCCCGTTTGTCGTGTGGAGCCACGCCGAACCTGGGTCACTGTTCTGATGACATGCTGCTCTGCGCTCTCGTTTGCCTTCCAGACGGAGAAGGGCAGTGCTTTGCATGAGGCTGCTCTGTTTGGCAAGACTGATGTGGTGCAAATCCTGCTGGCTGCAGGTGAGAGGCTGGCCGTGCTCTCGTTCCCGCGGCATGCCAGGGGTGGGCTTGTTTCTCCCTAGCCTCCCACAGGGGGATTTTTGCTGGCTGCACTTGAACCCAATGGATGTATGTCTCCACTGGTTGATTGCAAGTGTACGAATTGTTCTCGAAGAGCTGGATTAAATGGCTTTGGATGAAAAAATGTTGGTCGTGCTACTGGGAGCATTAAGAGTCCTGGAATTTGACCCCTTTTGAGGCTGACTTGCAACTGCTCACTCCCCCCGGTCCACCTGGTGTGCCTTTCTAGGAATTGATGTCAACATAAAAGATAACCGTGGCCTGACTGCCCTAGACACTGTCCGGGAACTGCCTTCTCAAAAGAGCCAGCAGATAGCAGCGCTTATCGAAGGTACCTGTTCATCCGCCTGTTGGGGCGACCAGGGGACACACTGGCCAAACCAAGGTGTATTTGGTGCAGCTTTTTTTGTCTTTCCACTTAGATCACATGACTGGAAAAAGAAGTGCAAGAGAGGCCGATAAAACCCCCACTTCCCAGGGACCTCTCATCTCCAATATGGACTCCATATCCCAGAAGTCTCAGGGTAAGGTGGCCTTTCTCTGACAATGAAGGGGCTCTCAGCTTGAAGAGTTGAATGGTCTTTGGTAGAATAGAAGAAGCTTCATTTAAATAATAACTTCAGGGGGTTGGGAGTACTTAATAAGTTCATATTCACATTTATTGTTTTCCAGCTAGTATGTGAACTTTTATTGGACAGAGCTTAGGCCCTTTACTTTGGACCTCTTCTTTCCTACTTTATCTTATTCTCTACTCTTACAGTTGGCTCTGTGAGGTCTATTCTGGGATGTGTTGTCAGCGGGATGATCTCAAGATGAATTCAAATCTCAAGGAAACCTTTTCCTAACACACACTATTCTGCTTTGAGCATAGTTGGCCCTCAGTAAATACTGAGCGAGTATTATCTGGTTGGTAGACGTGTGTATGGCAGATTTTGGTACTATGTCATTTGGCCAACAAATGTGGTCTGGGCACTAGCTTGGGCAGTCCAGCCTCCCCATCATTAGCCACGACCCACCCTTTCAGATTTATTGAGCAGCCTTTTGGGTGCTAGGTATGATGAACGAGAAAGACAAAACACTGACTGATGCCTTCCCTCAGATACAAAGCATAGTAAAGAAGGCCAGAGGAACAGAACAAAACCAGACACTGAAGTGGGAAAGGGATTTTTCAGAGGGGTGCAGAGGTATAAGGTTAAAGGGTGCTTGGCCTGTCTTCACTATGGAGTCCTTGTCTGCCCCCACCTCCACCACCCCCACTTTTTTTTTCTTGACCTCATAATCTACTGGTAATGGGATTAGTAGTTCACTAAGCTCTTAGCTTTCAAGGATTTTACAGTTACGGTTTTGACTGTTTGCCAGAGACCCAGAGATCTCTGGTCCACAACAGTCTATAACTTTTCAGAGTCACAAATTTGGATCCCAGGTAGTCTGAGGTTCGTAATTCTCTGGTGAGTTTAACCTCGCACACTGCCTCCGTGTCATAGAGTCTTCACCATCCTCTCTTTTGCTTGAGCACGTGGAGGTTTCTACTAAGAATTTAAAGGATTACTTAAGTTTCCAGTTATACTTCACTACGTTTTATGGTTTAAGTTTACACTATGATGACCTTGAGGTTCTTGGGAATTTTAAAGGTCTTGGGAGGTATCCCTCTTGGTGTCAAGGGTTTGCCATTTTGAATTAGAGAAAAATCTCTTGAAGTCTCAGGGTACAAAGAGCAACTGAAACTCTCTATATTTATTCCTGTCCATGGAGCAAAGCAGTCATTTTATTTTCCTGCTGTCGGTTACGTTTGTCAAGTTCAGGTTGATGAGGGGCGTTGGGTGGATGCAGTGGTTGGAAATCCGAGATTGTGCTCTCTGTCCATTGACTCTTGTTCTCTAACCTGTTCAGGTGACGTGGAGAAAGCAGTGACTGAACTGATCATTGATTTTGACACCAATGCTGAAGAGGAGGGTCCCTACGAGGCGCTGTATAATGCTGTCTCCTGCCATTCGTTGGACAGCATGGCCAGTGGGCGATCGTCTGACCGAGACTCCATGAACAAGGAGGCCGAGGCAGCAGGAGTGAAGGCTGCTGGAGTGAGGCCTGTATGTGGCCTGGGGCCCTCGACAAGCGGGGGCTGTGTTGTCAGCCTGTGCTTTGGTGGGGAGCTGGGAGAGGGAGTGTGCCCTGAGTGCCCGCTCGCTTTCCAGAGGCCTGCAGCCTGCTCCTGTTCTCCTGGGGCTCTGCCACATCTCTCTGTTGCCTAGTGTGGTTAAACTATATAGGTCCCCTTGAGGTAGAATTTTAGTTTTTCTGATTTCGATATAACATGTTTGCATCATTCTATTAGTTTTGGCCTTATAACAAATTGAAACATTTTATTTCCATTTAGCCTCATGAGGAGTCTGTCTTTCCGGTCTTTGTGGTAAGTTGTTAGTTTTATCTCTGGAGAGCAGTTCCACAGTGAAAGAGCTCACTGAAGTACGTTCTTGTCTGCCCTGAGTGCATTCTCACCTTCCATTTGCCCTCAGAGTGTTATCCATTTGGATCTGGACAGATTCTGCATTCAGCAGGGTTGTAGCAAGGCTTAATCAGATATTGCTATGTGTTAGTATGTGGCATTCCTGTTTTTCCCAGTTATAATCTCTCCAGCCATTTCTTTCTCAAGGTACACCTTCCCATCTTACTTCTTCCTGCTACTTGCTTTTGCGTCCAGTCTTGTCCATTGTTCTCAAGACTTTTTACTCCGTTTTTCTCCCTCAGGGTTTTACTCCGAGCCTAAGCCTGAATCAGTGGTCCCATTGACCTTCCTTCCTACATTGCCAGCATAATAATTTGAAGTTTTGAGCACCGCATTTTTACTGAACTTGCCATTGCTTAACAGAATCCCAGTGATCCCAGCTTGAGGCAGATTTTCAGGTGTATATTATTTCTTCCTGTTGGAGAGGCCAGCATTTCCCTTTTGGTCTAAATCTGCTTTATGACCATTTAGATGAACCTTTGGCCGCTAGGTGATCTTTGGGTTTTTCAGATGTGCCCTGGGAATGGCTTGATGTTTCTTAGTGTTCTTTTTTGTTAGGTTCCGTGTCTGGTCCTAGAATAGTATTTCTGTATGAATTTTGGAAAGGCCCATCAGTCTGTGGTAGCCCACTGGAGTGGGTATTATCAAGGAGCCCACTGGAGTGGGTATTATCAAGGACGGGTAAAACTCCTTGTGAGTGATGGAAGCACCTGCATATGCCAAGGACCCCAGCATGGTGCTTCTGTAGACAGAGCTGGTTTGTTTCACTTTCACCTTAGGTACGTTGAAGCAAGCAAACCCACCTGTGGAGGAAGGCATTGCTTTGTGGTACTTACAGGTGATGTCCATTAGAGGGAGCTGGAGGCTTTACAAGAAGAACACAGGGTTCCTGAAGTGAGCTCCGAATAACCAAGTTCCTGTGGGCTTAGCCACTGATTTATAGTCTCTTTGTTCTGTCCCACTCCAAGAATCTATCCTCCGGGGATCTTGCTATAAGTAAAAACTGATGCATCTTGGGGTGCGTGCTTTGCCATTTTTACTTGAGTATGTAGTGGCTGTGCTACTTGGTAATTACCTGTGGCCAAGGGACTGCTCTACATCTTACCAATGCAGTGGATGGTGAGTGTAAATCAGCTCTGCACTTAACAGGCCCTGGGCCAACGTTCTCATATTCAGAAAAAAAGAGCCTCCTGCTTCTCTTTGTTTCCAGTGTCCCTGGTGGTCACTTCTTGCACAAGAGGTGTTCATATTGTTCTTTCTAGGCTCCGTTAGTCTTGAGAGGGCTTCTGGGATGGGTCCTTTTTGTCGCTGTTGTGTTCCATTTTGTTTTTCCTCAGCTGTTTTTGTCCCAAGGTTGGATAACTGGTGTGGGTGATGGGCCTGCTCCCTTAGCTATTCCCTCCCTTACGAGGTGCCATTTGCAAGGAACCACTCTTGTTTCTGCACTTCTGGAGTAAGGCAGCTAGGGAAAGTGGAACTTAGTAGGAAATCTGGTCTCATAGCTTTGTTTGGCTTGAAAAGATGAACCTGTTTTGAAGTTGTTGCCGTTGGGCAGCCATCTGGTTCCAGGGACTATAGGAATGACTGATTTATCAAGATAGAATCCCGAGGGGCAAAGCATATTTGAACAGAGAGAGATCATGGATGCCAAATGCTAACTGAATGCCACCTGACCCTGGCCGCTCGTGGGACACGGGAGACATCTTGCAGACCTCTCTGAGGCTCTTGCATAATTCAGCACATGTCTCCACCCTGACTTTTGTAAATATTCCTGTTCTATCAACGCGGTGAGCTAACCTACAAGCCAGGGAGTGAGCCTGCAAGCCAACTCCTGGGTCAGGTTCCCACTCCCTTCCCTGTAGGAACATGATTATGAAGCATGATTAGGACTTCGGAGTGTAAACAACGCTGACGGTACCACAGGTACAATGGCAAATCTCTCTCCAGCCTTCTGCCACCGAAGGTTGTGTGTATTCCTGAAATTGTCCACTTCACTTGACCTCGCCAATCCCTCTTTCAGGGTGTTTCTTGCTTCAGGGCAGGGGTTGGCAAAATATGGCCCACAGACAGCTGCCCATTTTTTGAATAAAGTTTTATTGGAACACAGCCACACTTGTCTACATATCTTCTCTGGCTCCTTTGTACTGCAGTGGTGGGGTTGACCACAAAGCCTAAAATATTTACTGTGTGGCCCTTTAAGAAAGAGCTCGCCAACCCTTGCTCCAGAGCAGACAGCTGACAAATACTCCTTTTTTTTAAAGGGGCTGAGATGAAAGGTTTTAATATGTGAGCGATACATAATACATTGAAGGAGGTGGCCAAGGATTAGATAGAGATCAGTTCTGAGCTTTGGTGAATAAATAGGGGTAGCGTTAAAGTTTGAGCAGGAATTGATGTTTTTGTCCTTGATTACTTTCCTCAATAGTTCCTTAATAATGCGGGTTTGTTAGAACTCTGACAAGTTGATTTTTTTGATTTACCACTTCCTCTTTTTAATATAGTCTGAAAGTTGAGCCACTGGCTTTTCTGGGCTAGAGTTTTATTATGGGTATTATGAAGGACATTTTCTGACAAGGCAGGACCGTGGTTTCAGTGCTGATATTTCTCACTGTGGTCTAGAATATGAAACAAGTGTTTATAATCTCTGCTACAAACATCAAAAAGTGAGGAGCGTGCTGATTGAATTTTATGTGTGTGTGTGTCGGGGGTGGGGGACGTATGTGCAGATACTAAGCCATCTGTTCAGGTACTGATCCTTGAGTTGAGTCTCTCAGGGGAGTTCTTCACATTATTCTTTTCCATTTCCAAGGGCTAAGATAAGAACAGAAAGTTAGATACTAAAAGAGATAGTGACATATTTTTCTCTTCTACAGAGGGAACGTCCACCGCCTCCAGCAAAGCCACCACCCGATGAAGAGGAGGAAGACCACATAGATAAGAAGTATTTTCCCTTGACAGCTTCTGAGGTAGAGGGTTGAGGGTTTATTGCCATCACTGAAATACGATTTTTTGGAAAGTACATCGATGTGTGCTTAAAGACTTTGCTTTCTCATTTTCTTATCGCCTCTTTGGATTAGTAAGTTTTGTGTATATCAGTAATCTGGAAGAAGCCCTTTCCAACTCACTCAGAAGTACTAAGCAAAGAATTTTAATGAAGCTATCTAGCAGACAGGCCAATTATTGATCTACATTGCACATTGAAAGTAAACCATGCACATTTCTCCTGGTGGCTCCAGTAGCTAAACAGTTGACTTTTTTGCCTTTTTTGCGTACCTGTGTCATCTTTTGATACAAAATGTAGAGTATGCCCCCAATCACTGTTCTATAGACTATGTCATTTTAGTGAGCTTTGGTGGTTCTGCCCCAAGTGTCTTATTTCTGTTTTCACATTTTTCTTCTCCGTTTCACATGAAGAATCCACCAGGACAAACATTGAAAATGTCATGAAGACTCAATTAGAAGAGAAATAGGAGTCATGGGGGTGGGAGAAATCAAAAAAGTTTATTTGAGAAGACTAGTCCATCTTTTTAAAGAAGGATTATTATGGGGCAAATCGTTCAATTTTCCTTCTTGGTTATATGAAGAAAATCATATTTTCCGTGATCTTTCATTTTCAGAATGCTCCTTTAATACTTCCTACCGTGGAGAGAATATGTTTATTCAGTATTTATTCAAAATACTACATAATTTCATTATTTTGTTGCTCATTCAGTGGCCTATTGGTCTTTAATTTAAAAATCAGCTGATATAAGCTAGTCAACTAAGTCTCATAACTTTATCCCTAGAAGTCAGAGTTAATTTTTTTACTATATTGCCACAGACCATCCAGTGAGACAGGTTCTTTTACTTAGTAAAAACACGTGGAACCAGAAGGATGGCTTTCATTTAAGAAAATGTATAAATACAAGGATGCGGTTTTAAGAATGTGAAAGTCAGTGTTGAAAATAGGGGAAGATGTTTGTGCTGGGTACAAAATCTGTCCCTATTTCTTTGTATGCCTTAATTACAAAATGCCTATTATCATGTTTCAACTAAAGGGCCTCCAGAATTATAGCCTCTAAGGTGATAATACACTGCTAGCAGATAGAAGTGCATGTAGCTGACCCTGCATGTTTTTATACAGAGATTTGCTTCATTACTCCCTTTTTATAAGGAGAAACCTGGTAACATGGAGCATATTTACCTGGGGCTAGGTCTCTATAAATGCCTTATGCCATCTCTTTAACAAGGACTTGGATTAAAATTCCTAATGCCCAAGGATAAGTGCAAGGCTCTTAAAGAAATATTAGATAATGAGGACTTTCTATTCTTCAAGGCTTTTCAGAGAATATGATTTGTCAATAACACTGTTAAGAGAAGGGCACCTGGCTGGGTAGGTTAGTTAGTGTCTGTTAGGTAGGTTGGTTAAGTGTCTGTCTTCAGCTCAGGTCATGATCTCTGGTCCTGGGATCTGGCCCCACGTTGTTGGGCTTCCTGCTCAATGGGGAGTCTGCTTCTCCCTCTGCCTCTTGCCTCGTGTGTGCATACGCGCGTGCGTTCTCTCTCTCTCTCTCTCTCTCTCTCTCTCTCAAATGAATAAATAAAATCTTTAAAAAAAGCAAAAAACAACAGTATCAAGAGATAGGGGGAGAAATCTCCATATTACTCTCCTGGATGGAAGACTCTGAGATACTTTTTCTAGGACTTGCTTCTGAATAGTCTAGAATTCTGGGTCAGTTGGGCCACTGTAGTCAGAAGACCATGAGAACCCCAGCCTTGCTTACTTAGTGATTATAAGTACATAAATACGGAGGTGATGTGGTCTATGTCATTATCCTTTTAATGATCAAGGCAGATTCTGTTTGCTGTAGTTTGAATGACTAGGTCTTCTCCAAAAGTGGACTTTTTTTTTTCTTGGACTCTAGTCTTCCATATTTTGATTTCTTACACTCCCAAAGCTTTACTACCCTAACCCTCATATCCTAGGAAGCACTGGCTCATCACAATTTCGGCTTTTATATTTGGCAGGCCATCTGCTTCAGTGTTTGTGTCCTATTCCCTAGGCTTGTCATTGTCAGATGACCCATAGAAGCTTTTAAGGGAAGCTGAGTATAGCTGGCTCCAGGAGAGCTTATCAGATTAACGACCAGGTCATGAAACTGGCTTAAAGAAATTAAACAGCTACACATGTGTGTGCACACACGCTATCGAGATGTTTTTGCCCCGCCAAATGGGCTGCCAGCTTCATCAGACTGACCAGGGTCTTCTCTGCTCAGATGTGTTAAACATTCATGGGAAGATGCAGCTGCCCTGGTATCTCTTCCCAGAAAACTGCCCACACCCCAACCGGTCATTCCGTTGGTCACAGTTAGGTGGTGACTGGTAGTAGCTTCTCTCTGCAGCAGAAGTGTTCCTTTCCACATAACAGAGAATATGGCTTTTTGGCTTTGATGTATGGTCAGCCCTGGAAGAAAGGGGCAGAAAAGATCAAGGAATAATCTAGTAAAGAGCAGAATCCTTTCTGTTGAAAATCAGTTATTGCCATATTCACTGTGACACAGGGCTTCTTGAGTGGGAGTTAGGAAGGCCCAAAGCAAAGCAGTCTATTGCTTTATTATGAGATTTTAATCCCATAGCTGACGGGAGCCAGGAAGGACTAAGAGGAAAAGATCACCTTAGAAGTTGTCTGGATGTAAGCAGGGGACTCTCAGTAGAGTCTGAAGGAGGAAAAGAGTTCCAAATTGGATGGAAAGTCCTATTTCCCAGGGGGGAAAAAAAATGAGGCCATCTTGGTCCAGAATCAGGGGAAGTGAATTTTATGGCCCTGGCTCTGCTGGTTGCTCTCTCTGTAACCTTGGGCAAGTCCCTAGACCTGTCTGGGAACTCGGTTTGGGCATCTGCAAAGGGAAAGAGCTGGAGCCAGGTGCTCTTTAGCTGTGATCAGAACGGTTCGGGTCCCTTCCAGCTCTAGCATTTACTGGTGCTGTGCTTCTCGTTGTCGTGCACGAGAGCCAGGCACAGAGTGACCGAAGGTCCAGTGGGCCTGATTTTCCAGATGGAAGTCATCAGCTGTCCTGCTTGAGAAGAAAGGATATTATAGGCGGGGTATCCAGACTGTCAACTACCTTTCAGAGAAGTATGCCTGGGGCTATATGAGGGCCCTTGCTGTGTGCAGAACACACGGAATCAGATTTCCAGGGCTCTGGCTAAGTGATAGCTATGGGTGTGTAAACCTACAGAACACAAATTCCTGTCTGTAAAGCCTGTGGTATTAAGTTGACACTGTATGAACTGCTTAATGGTCCCTCTTTGTTCCCTTAATTGTGTTCCTATGAAGAGGCAAAAGGAATAAGTAATACAGGCAAATGGCTCGTTGTAATGAAATAGCTTTTAGCTTCCAGGTGGCTTTCAGTAAAGTGGAGGTTCCTGCTGTGCTTAGCAGAATTTCGGAAAGAGACTATCATTCTGCCTTTGGAGTGGCAGCCTTGTTACCAAACAGGAGCCACAGCCTCTCATTTAGTCGGGGGCTGCTAGCTAGAATCCTTGTTGTCTCATTAGTTCCTAACACAGTGAGCTGTGTCTCCAAGAAGCAAAACCCCAATGAATCACAAACCTGATTTATTTCCAGTGAGCTGTGGGGCATGTCTGAAGGAGGAGGTTTCTGCATGTACCAAAGAATCACATTTGTTAGGGTACCGTTATTTGTTAGGTGGACTTGGGAATTCCTCTGAACCCCTCCTCTGTTCGTGATGTATCACTTCTCCTAGCCAAAGTGCTCAAAAGGAGATTTCGTGCTTTGGCTCGCTCTCCTAATAGCTGGTACATGATTATTCTTAATTTGCCTATGACATGCATTGGATTCTTAGGACAGATGAGCCAGAATGATCGTCTAAATCAAGGATCTCCATTCTCTCTCTTAGTGTGACTGTGGCACTAATTATGGTGTTCCTGGCCTGGTTTGAGGAGGAAGCTTGGCCACCTTGGTACCATGACTGCTGTGGCCACAAGGCCCTCAGCTGCTTAGACCTAGTTGGTGGCTGTGGAAGCCAGCTCTGGTCCAGGTATTCCATCAGAGACACTTGGCTGCCTGGATCAGGGCTTTCTCCATCGACAGAGCTGCTTTTTTTCTCTACTGAAATTCATACTGCCTAGCCATTTGACTCCTTTCAGAACAGAGATTGGTGGAATTCATTTAAACTCGTATTACCATAAATGTAGTAGGAAGCTGGCTTTTGAGAGAAACTTCCCTGTAACCCCCAGGACCTGTGAAGAAAGGCTCACAAAAATAGAGAAGGATGCACAGAGCACTTTGTTTCTGGTAAATGTCAGTCATTCGGGATCAGTCAGAAGTCATTTGATTCCCTCTTGAGAAGGTGGGAAGGCTTCCAACCTTGGGGTCGTATGTGTGCATGTTGGGGAAGAATTGTGGAGAGAGAAGGCCTTTGTGAGGCACCCTGGGTAAAAACCGCTTGGAAGCTACCACCCACTGAAAAGAGACCATGCAGAACACTGTGATGATGGGAGAGGCACGGGAAGGGAGGATCTTGGATTTTATTAATGGCTTTTTGAAGGATAAAATGAGGTAGGAAAAGGGGAGTGTTTTTTTTTTAAAGATTTTATTTATTTATTTGAGAGAGAGAGAGCACGAGAGGGAAGAGGGTCAGAGGGAGAAGCAGACTCCCCGCCGAGGAGGGAACCCGACGCGGGACTCGATCCCAGGACTCCAGGATCGTGACCTGAGCCGAAGGCAGTCGCTTAACCGACTGAGCCACCCAGGCGCCCCGGAAAAGGGGAGTGTTTTAATCAAAGGCCATTGAGATCCGAGGTACCGGTGCATATCCAGAGAAGCACGTGGTTCCACATGACACTTGAGCTGTTTACCTTCTCTCCCCACCCCGCTTCCTCGCTGGTGAAAAAGGAGCCAGTAATCTCGAATTTGTTCTGCATAACCTGTCCTGGTATTAGCCACCCACAGGAGAAGTTCTATGGTGTTTTCTCTCGTAGGTCTTGGCCATGAGACCCTGGCTTCAGGGAAGTGCAGCCAGGGAAGAGGAGGAGCATCCTTACGAGCTGTTGCTAACGGCAGAGACAAAGAAGCTGGGACCCGTGGATGGGGATGGGAAACCGAAAGGTACGCCCCCCACCCCCGCCCAGCAGAAACAATTACAGAAGGATTTTTAAAGGTTGGGATCCTGGATGGGAAGTAGAGGGTGATGTTCCTTGGGATGGGGAAGTTGGGCGTCACAGCAGTTGGAGGTGGTGGCTGTATTGTGACCTTTCATTTAGTGTTGGCTTGCCCCCCTCCCCCTGCAGCACCTGAAGCAAGGAGGTGGTTAGGTCAGACCAGGCGATGGCTGTGGGAGGAGAGACGGCCTGTGGTGTGACGGAGATTGATTTGGGGTCTCAAGTCAGAAACCCTCAAGTTAATGCCATGGAAAAACAAGCCCAACAAGTCAGTCCCTTGGGGTTCAGGCTGCCGGCACAGGCTCTGCTTTGAGTCCTGACCTCAGAGTGAGACACTCCTGGGGAGGGGCCCGTGATTGGCTGCCACCCGGTAACTAGAGTGCTCTGTCGCCTTGGCCTACTTTCATCGCCTCTGCAAAATTCCGTTCCCTCTGTGAGGGAGCGAGTGCTGCAGGACCCAGAGCCAGGCCAACGACGGAGGTGAGCGCACTGCCGGAGCAGGTGTGACAGCCTCTGTGCTAAGAACAACAACAAGGGGCAGTGCGGTTCCCACTGCACTTGGAAGGGACTCCTGTGGCCTCCTCCTGTGGCCTCTCCCCGCTCTTTATAGCTTTCGGGTACTGGGCCCTTCATGGGGCATGATTAGCGCCTCCTTTCAATCCTGATAGTCACGGTTCCGGTAAGAATGGGGGGTGTGATGGCTTCTTTTGAACCACCCTTTGCTGGGCCTGTCAGAGGGTAGGGGGGTGGCAAAGAGAACATGTACGTATGTGTCTGACATCGTAGACCTTATTTTTAACTGTCCTGTTTAAAAGGTTTCTCTTCCAGCATGCAGAAACTTAGTGGTCGTTTTTATAGTAGTTGTTTTGTTTTCGTTTTTTATGGTTTCCATTTGGAGCTTTCTAAAAAAAAAGTTACAATTTAAATATGGTAAAATTTACCCTTTTTGTGTACAGTTCTGTGAGTTGAGTTCTGACAAATACAGTTATATAACTGCCTCCCCAGTCAAGGTATGGAATGGTTTTATCACACCAAAAACTCTCGTGTCCCTGTCCCACACCTTTCCTTTACCTCTGGCAACCACTGCTTTTATGTCAGTCCCAATAATTTTGCCTTTTCCAAAATGTCCTATAAATGGGAATCGTACCATATGTACCCTTTGAGTCGGGCACCTTGCACTTAGCATGATTCACTGAAGAGTCCTCCATGTTGTTGTGTGTATCAGTAACTTGTTACTTTCATTGCCAAGTAATAGTCTGTTGTACTGGTGTACCACAGTTATCCATTCTCTAGTTGAGGGGTATTTGGGTCACTTAGAGTTCTTGGCAGTTACAAAAAAACTGTAAACATTTGCAGGTTTTTGTTGAACATCAGTTTCGTTTCTCTTGAGAAAACACTAGGAATGGGATTGCTGGGTCCTAGGCAAATATATGCTACACTTTATAAGAAATTGTCAAACCATTTTCTAGAGTGGTTATACCATTTTGCTTTTCCATCAGAGTTATAGTTGCTGTGTATCCTCCCTAGCACTTAATATTGACAGGTTTTTAAAATTGTAGTCCTTCTAATAGGTGTGAAATGATATTTCATTGTGGATTTCATTTGTATTCCCATAATGATTCATGATGTGAACATCTATTAATGTGATTATTTGCCATCCATATAGCTAACGAAATCAATGTCCAACTCTTTTACTCATTTTAAAAAATTGGGTTGTTTATGTTCTTATTATTGAGTCATGAGAGTTCTTTATATATTTTGGATACTACTTATCAGATATGTCATTTTCTCCTAGTCTGTGATTTGTCTCTTTATTTCCTTAATAGTGTCTTTTGAAGAGCAGGGGTTCTTAATTTTGATGACAATGTATCTTTTTTCTTTTTTTTTATGGATAAGGTCACAAATATTTTTTCCTATATTTTCTTCTAGAAATATTGTAGGCTTAGGTATCCATTTAGGTCTGTGACCCATTTTGAGGTAATTTTTTAATATGACGTGAGACATAGGAGAGATTCATTTTTTTGCATGTGGATATCCAATTGTTTCCACATGATTTGTGAAGGACCCTCCTTTTCTTGCCTTTGTCAATTTGTTATTCTTTTTCAGAATTGTTTTAGGTATTCTTTCCATACAAAAATTTAGAATGAACTGGTTGATTTCTATGAAAAGTCCTGCTGGATTTTTATTGGGATTGTGTTCAATCTATATAGCAATTTGAGGAACTCTCTTAACTGTATTGAGTCTGCTAATCATGTTGGTAGGTTTTTAATTAAAATATTTAGAGAGCGTGGAGTAGAGCACCAGTGCGTTCTCTAGTTGTTTAATAATAAATCATACTGAAATTAACCCTTAAAGAGCAAGTACTTAATGCTCTGTTTCAAAGTGGTTCTTAGGGAAGAATTTTTAGCATCAAGGAGGAACGAGATTATTAATTTTTTCTCTCTTTCGAAGGCTTGATCTGGACCCATTATAAGATAGCTGGCTGAACCTTTGGAAGGAAGAAAAAGAGAAAGTAGACAAACTTCATAAATGGGGCTGGTCTCCTTGGCTGCCAAATGCAGGAATTTTCTATCCTCAAGTCGAGAAATCTCCAGGTCAAGGAGGGAAATGCCACAGAGGACTTTAGGCCTCACATCTCCTCCTTTGCTTTGGTTCCTTCCAGCTCAGCAATACTGGGCTAACTGTTAAGAGTAGGTGGTGCGGGAAGCAGATTTAATTGGACCACAGCATGTGGGGTGTGCCTGCCTCCAGGCAAGCTGCGTGGATCACTCAAAGACCTTTCAGACAAAGGAGTTGCGACATTCAAGATGAAAATGGGCTCTGCCAGTTTCTTAGTAGCCTGGAAGGAATGCCTGCTACAGTTGGTAAATGTGAGACAAGTCAGCAGATGATATTACGGATTAGTACAGAGTCAGTCTTTTCTGCTTTTCCACTAATGTCATTACCTTAGGCAGCTTTTATGAGTTAATTCATCAGTTCTCAAAAGGCCATGTTAATGAGACTACCAGAGCTTTCAGCCCTCTTTACTATATAATTCACAAACCTATGGCAGGAGGGGTGGGGTGGGAGATTATCTAAATTGTATTTTATTTGTTTTTATTTTTATTTTTTAAGGTTTTATTTATTTATTTGACAGAGAGAGACAGCGAGAGAGGGAACACAAGCAGGGGGAGTGGGAGAGGGAGAAGCAGGCCTCCCGCCGAGCAGGAAGCCCGATGCGGGGCTCAATCCCAGGACCCCGAGATCATGGCCCGAGCCGAAGGCAGTCGCTTAATTGACTGAGCCACCCAGGTTCCCCTCTAAATTATATTCTAAAAGTACATTTGTATTAGCTCCTGGGGGAAAAAGAAATTCAGACAATATAGAAGTCATTACAAGTAGAATGGTCCAGTCTTCTCACCTCTCCGCTACTCACAGTTGCTGGAAGTGACATAGTTTGAAAGTGTAGTGTCCGCTTCAGGCCGTTTGCTGTCTTTATTTTTTTTTTTAAAAGTGACTATGTGTGATCGTTTTGTTTGTTTTTAACAACCTAAAATGGGATTGTATTTCACAAACGGTTTTGCACACTTGTTTTGTTTTTTTAATTTACCTTGTCTATAGATCATGGGTACAATTTTGTTTTAAGTTCTTAAACATCTACCTTATTCTTTTTGAATGGTTGTTAACTATCCCATGACTCATTTTTTTCTATTCTCTAGTAGATGGATGTTTACATTGCCTCCAGTATTTCTCTGTAATAAATGAAGCTGCTGTGGACATTCTGTACACATATTCTTACATGCTTATAAGAGTCTTTATTTTTTTTTTTAAGATTTTATTTATTTATTTGACAGAGAGAGACACAGTGAGAGAGGGAACACAAGCAGGGGGAGTGGGAGAGGGAGAAGCAGGCCTCCCGCGGAGCAGGGAGCCCAGTGTGGGGCTCGATCCCAGGACCCTGGGATCACGACCTGAGCTGAAGGCAGATGCTTAACGACTGAGCCACCCAGGCACCCCACAAGAGTATTTCTTAAAAGACATTGATAGAAAGTAGAATTAGCCAGTCAGAGTGTAGGTACATGTCTAGATCTAACTGGTGAAGCTGAATTGCCCTCCCTTGATGGTTAATGAGCACACGCTTTCCCATTCCTTCACCAACATGGGATATTAGCACTCTTTAATGTTTTTCACTGTGATAAGCCAAAAAAGTGTCTTTTGTAATTTGTCTTTGCCTGATCTTGTGAAATTGAGCATCTTGGTCATTAGTGTTAGATGGCCTATGAGTTGCCTATCTTTTTTCCCTCTATTTTTCTACTTAGAAATTAATTAATGGTAGTGGAAACACTTCATATAAATACTGATAATATTTGGCCAAAGTGATACTCAGAGGAAAGTTAGATCTTTAAATTTATTATAAAACAAAGACTGGGGCACCTGAATAGCTTAGTCGATTAAGTATCCAACTCTTGATCTCAGCTTAGGTCTTGATCTAAGGTCATGAGTTCAAGCCCTGTGTTGGGCTCCATGCCCAACTTAAATAAATAAATAAATAAATAAATAAATAAATAAGACTAAAACTTAACCAAGAGAAAGTAGCAGAGAGGAATTAATAAAGATAAAAGCAGATAGTATATTTCACGTACTTTATGGTATGCATATTACACCTCAGTAAAGAAAAAATATAAAAGTGGAAATAATGAAATTTAAAAAGCAGTAAACTTGACCATTACAATGAAAACTTGTTTGTTTTTTTTAAAGATCTCTGATAATTCTGATCAAGAAAAGAGGAAAAAAACACAACATATAGGAATAACATAAAGCACACATATAAGCACAAATTTAGAGATTTTAAAAATTAATAATAAGGGTTTATAGAAATAAATTTTTGTTGTTAGAGTTGCTGCCATCCCCTGGGATGTCTGTTGGTCCATCACAATGACTGGTAGCATTGGGGTTTCCAGTGGCATT